TATATATATATATTGAACTGTGTCAAAATAACTTTTTATTTTTTTTTTTTTTCGATTAAGCGTATCTTAAAAGTTTCCTCAATATTAAAAAAAAAATTCTCCTAAAGTTGGAGCTCAATATCTCAAAAATTGAGCTGGCGCAAGGGGGTGTTCCCTTTCCCATTTAAATAACATTGTAAAATTTCTTTTTTTTTTTTTTAAATAAATATACAAATAAAATTTCTTTTTCAATTCTGTTCTAAACTATCTTGTAGAAAATGTAATTCTCTACAAAATTGTTTATGTCCATTTTTTTCCTAAACTCAACAGAAACGAAGTTACAAAGGGCCGAACAAGAGGAAAAAAATAACACCGGCCCACAAAAAAAAAAAGTGCTCTGTACTTTTGACCGGACCTACCTATCTTTATCTATTTCGACGCGCTGAATCCGAATGTGAAGTCAGATTTGCCCATACACCCTCAAAATTTTGAGTAAAATGTAAAAAACCCAGAAAAAAAGCAAAAACTTGCGAAAAACTGCAGTCACAGCAATGAAAAAATTTTTTTGCACCTAGATCACGTATGATTTTTACGTATTTCAATTCAAAGAAACTGAATCCAAACGTTTAGTAGCTCCTTGAGCCGTAAAAATTTGAAAATTTTAAATGGAAAAGCTGACTAAACCATAAAATCTGTAAAAAATAGCATGTAAGGAGAAAGTACAGAACCATGTTTTCGAATTTCGCACTGTCCTGCGTTTGTATCGAACTTTTTTAGCTTCAAATGAGCTACGCAGAGGGTTCCCCTCTTACCTTTTCTGTTTTCTTCTGGTATTTCTTTTTTTAGCATCCAGCAAAATATTGATTGAACTTGATCAAATTTATTTCTATCGAAAAATCTTTTTAAAAACCATGCGAAGATAAGGAACGATCATTCTGATTTTCAGCTGTTCTTCGCTTGTGTCGAACCTCAAGAAACTGCTACTCTTGAACCGATGGATGAGAGCGAAGAAGGAATGCAAGTTGACGACGTCTATGAAGAAAACAGTTCTGAGGACGAAGGATACTTGCCCGATATCGGTCAAAATAAAGACCCTGAAACCTTTGACCAGCTAGAATTAAATTACCTTTTGCGAGATATAGGATTATCCAAAGAGAGATCTGAACATTTAGCGGCTGTATTGAAGAAGAAAAATTTATTAATTAAAGAAACATCAGCTTATTTCTATCGCGATAGGGAGAAAAAGTTCCGAAAATATTTCAACAACAATAACAAAAATTCATTGGTTTACTGTTCAGATGTAAAAGGTTTGGTTGATGAATAAAACCGAACACATACAAAGACGATGAATGGAGGCTCTTTATTGATTCGTCAAAGAGAAGTCCAAAAGCTGTTCTTCTTCATAACGGAAACACATATGCACCGATTCCAATAGCCGACTCGACCAAACTTAAAGAACCTTATGAAAATTTACAGATTGTATTAAATAAAATAAAGTATTCGGAGCATCAATGGAAAATTTGTGGTGATTTGAAAATTGCAACACTTCTGTTAGGTCAGCAATGAGGGTTTACAAAATATCCCTGCTTTTTATGTTTATGGGATAGTCGAAATCGGGAAAATCACTATGTGAAGAAAGAATGGCCAACGAGAGCGAACTTAAATCCTGGTTCTCAAAATGTGATACGAACACCGTTAATTGATCCTTTTAAATACCTACTACCACCACTTCATATTAAGCTTGGTCTTATGAAGCAGTTCGTCAAAGCTCTGGAAAAAGATGGCAATTGTTTTACATATTTGGGAGAAAAGTTCCCAGCTATAAGTGATGGCAAATTAAAAGAAGGAATTTTCGATGGTCCTTAAATTCAGACTTTGTTTCTAGACGATAACTTCGTTTATGAAATGAACGACATTGAAAGAGCAGCATGGTCGAGTTTTAAAGATGTGTCACAAAATTTTTTGGGAAATAATAAAAGTGAAAATTACGAAAATTTAGTTGAAGAGTTGTTGTAGAATTACGATACTCTGGGTTGCTTAATGAATCTTAAATTGCATTTCGTACATTCTCACCTACAATACTTTCCTGAAAATCTTGGCGACTACAGTGAAGAGCAAGGCGAAAGATTCCACCAAGACATAAGTGACATGGAGAGTCGATATCAAGGAAAGTGTAATGTCAATATGATGGCAGATCATTGCTGGACACTGAAGAGAGATGTACCGGATGAAAACAGAAAGCGAAAAAGAAACCCTTTGCGTAGGTCATTCGAAGACAGAATGATACGACACAAGCGAAGAACAGCTTAAGTCAGAAAGTCAGATTTTTCGATAGGAATAAATTTAATCAAGTTCAATCAATAATTTGTTGGATGCTAAAAAAAGAAATACCAGAAGAAAACAGAAAAGGTAAGAGGGGAACCCTCTGCGTAGCTTATTTGAAGATAAAAAAGTTCGATACAAACGAAGGACAGTGCGAAATTCGAAAACATGGTTCTGTACTTTCTCCTTACATGCTATTTTTTACAGATTTTATGATTTTGTCAGCTTTTCCATTTCAAGATCATATTCCATCCATGAAAATACACCTAAGTCATCAACGATCGTATTTAATAGATTTTTTTTCTCATATTTATAACTGCAATTTTCTCGATTTTTTTGATTTTTTGAGATTTTTAAAAATTTTAAAACATCAATGGGACAAAAAAACTTCAGATTCAAATTCAGTGGAACAAAGTACATAAAAATCATACTCAATCTGAATCCAAAAAATTTTTTTAATCTTGAAAATTTCGATTTTTCATGATTTCTTGCAATTTTTTTTGAATTTTTTCAAATTTTGACGGCTTAAAGAGCTACTAAACGTTTGGATTCAGATTCTTTGAATTGAAATATGTAAAAATCATACGTTATCTAGGTACAAAAAAATTTTTTCATTGCTGTCCCTGCACTTTTTCACAAGTTTTTGCCTTTTTTCTGGGTTTCCTACATTTTACTCAAAATTTTGAGGGTGTATGGGCAAAACTGACTTCACATTTGGATTCAGCGCGTCGAAATACATAAAGATAGGTAGGTCCGGTCAAGAAGTACAGAGCACTTTTTTTTTGTGGGCCGGTGTAATTAATGAATTGAGAACAAAAAAAAATTTATTATTTCAACTTATCCATGATCTAACTCAATATACTTCATTATTCATCAAAAATTTTTGAATTTAACATTATATTTCGAAATAATGAAAAAAAAAGTTCAAAATAAAACAGAAATTAATTACAATTAATATTAATATATTTATACATTTTTTCGTCCACTGTTAGATTTATATTGGTCATTTCATGTCAAATCGCCAATAGTTGGAATCGACCCTTTTCGATTTGGATAAATGTTTGCCATCAGTTATTCCAAGGTTAGTAAGACAATAAATGTCGTCAATAACTACAAATGAAGTAAAAAAAGGAAAAATAACAAATTATATCATGCGTTAAGGATGACTTCAAGATTATGTCCAAAAAATAAAAAAAAGTTGAAATTAATTTATTATTTCATTTAATAAATTCAGATTTATGAAAAAAAAAACCCCTTTCCAAAAATTTCAGGATCTTTCAAGATCAGTACAAGGTATTATACAAAAAAAAAGTTAAGTCAAAATTTCAATGGCGCTCATCATTTTTGACGATCAAGAAAAATTGAAAATTTTACAAATTTGGCATTTTTCAAAATTTTTTTCCCAAATATTTTTTTTTCAATAGCCCCAAGTGCCCCTTTCAAACAAACGACCGCCCATTACTGTATCTATAATCGCCTTCGAGATATTACAAAAACAAAATTGAAAAACTCGAAAAATCGCAAAATTTTTAATTTGCATAACTTTTGAAAAAAATTCTTTAATTTTTTTTCCTTTGGCAGAATTTCGTTAAATAATAAAAGAAAACTTCTGACCAAAATTTATCCGAATCGAAAAGGGCCGATTTCAACTATTGGCGATTTGACTTGGAATGACCCATATAAATCTAACTAGTCAACAGTGAACAAAAAAATTGTATAAATATATTAATTGTAATTAATTTCTGTTTTATTTTGAACTTTTTTTTTATTATTTCGAAATATAATGTTAATTATGATAAATTCAAAAATTTTTGATGAATAATGAAGTATATTGAGTTAAATCATGGATAAGTTAAAATGATAAATTTTTTTTTGTTATTAATTCATTAATTATTTTTTTTCTCTTATTCAGCCCTCTGTAACTTCGTTTCTGTTGAGTTTAAGAAAAAAATGGACATAAACAATTTTGTAGAGAATTAAATTTCTTATAAGATAGTTGAGAGCAAAATTGAAAAAAAAAATTTTATTCGTATATTTATTTTAAAAATAAAAAAAAAGAAATTTTACAATGTTACTTAAATGAGAAAGGGGACCCTCCTTGCGCCAGCTTAATTTTTGAGATATTTAGCTCCAACTTAAGGAGAATTTTTTTTATATACATATATATATTTACCTCATTTCCATAACAAAGTAAATGATGTACAGTGATGAGTGCTTTAAAAACAACGGTCCAATTGGTATTTTGTGATCGCTCAACAAGAAGATTAGCTAGCTGTGGTATTGAAACATTAGGTTCATTCGTACAATGAATCAGATCTGGAAAAGAAATTGTTATCAATCATTAATTTGTGACTGAATAATCGAAAAACATATAATTTTTTAACTTCCCACTAAAAAAATTGAAAATTTTCAAAAATCGGGAAGTTATTGGTTTTATCCCGGTTTTCAAAAAGCAACTTTTCATCAATCTCGACGTTTTGAGGTCCTAGAACGCTTTCCTGAATGTTTTCGGAATGATGTTCGTATGTCAGTATGAATGTGTGTGTGTATGTGAGTGTGTGTGAGTATGTACGTATGTGACCCTCTTATAACTTTTGAACCGCTCGACCGATTTCATCGCGGTTGGCGCCATTCGAAAGTGCTTGACCAAACTTAGATTTTGAGAAACAATTTGGACCGATTCGAACCGGTAGATTTAGAAAAATCTCAAAAAAAACTACAAAAAAAATTTTTTTTAATGTCGTTTTTTATGAATAACGTTCAAACGGCTCAACCATCGATTTCGAAAACTTATCAGCTCTTAACATCAGAAACCAACGTCGATCGCCGCCAGCCCGGTCGAAATCAGTTGATTCGTTCGTGAGTTATAACATCTATACATCTAAATATACATCTAAATAATCTCATGGTATTGGTAGTTAACATCTAATTAATGAATAAGGCTACTATTGAAGGGAATAATAAAACACCCCGTTACAACATGTAGGAGAGGTGAATATTTAAATTTTGAACATGATGCTGAGACGCTTTTTGACCGAATGAAAAATCATGAAACTTTGCAGGAGAACGTAAATAGAAGTCCTTCGTGAATTGATTCTTTTATTTTTAAATTTATTCATTGAAAAAAAAAAAAATGATAAATAAACAGGTAGAGTTCGTGCGTAAAACTACCTTATCTCAGGAGTCATCGCATATTTAAGTGAATAAGCTTGACTATAAAGAAATTGTTAATAAACATACAACCAATATAATCTTTGAGACTGATTTAATTTTTTGGTTATTTCTTATTTTAGTTTATATTACTCATAAGACATAATTATTAAAATCCAGCTAGGTTAGGGTAAAAAACTAATTAACAACAAAAAATATAATTTACTATTTATCTTCATGTAGGCCGCAAGAGAGTGCTAAAAGTAAATTATCTAGTTTAATATTTTTAAGCAGTAGTTAGAGTATTTACAAAGTCTGGTAATCTCCTTCAGTGTATTTTACATGTGGTTCAAATAAACAAACCGATATATTTAATTGTCATTTGTTGTCACTGGTCCAGACTGAATTACCGATATCAGACTGTATACCATGTTTTTAAGAAAAAAAAATTAGGAATACGGTTGACCCTGAAGGCCATCCCTGCAACTTCCCGACAATTCTATACCTAAACGCTTGAAATTGCACTTATGACGTTTTGGAGCTCTTCGAGCTCATAAATACAATTTGTGTATTATTTTGAGCTCTGCGAGCTCAAAAAAATAGCTCTTGCATGCTTTTGAGCTCTTCGAGCTCAAAAGTTTGATAGAGGTTTGATAAAACACTATTTTTTTAATTTTCAAATCGCAATAACTTTTGAATGGATCAACCGATTTTCACGCGGTTGGCGGCATTCGATGCGGTTTTATCAGCCTCATTAAGAATTTTCAGGTTTTATTTGATCGAACCAAAAATTTCGGAGTAATTTCGAAAAAACAATTTTTCCGGTTTTCTTTCGTCAACGATAATTCACGAACAAATCAGCCGATTTCGACGGGGCTGACGGCGATCGACGTGGTTTCTTGATGTTAAAAGCTGATAAGTTTTTGGAATCGATCGGTAAAGCTGGTTGAAAGTTATTCCAAAAAAACAACATTTGAAAAAATGTTTTATTCTAGTTTTTTTGAGATTTCTCAAAATCTACTGGTTTGAATCGGTCCAAATTGTATTCAAAATGTAAGTTAAGTTAAGCCCTTTTGAATGGCACCATCCGCGATTAAATCGGTCAAGCCGTTCAAAGCTAATGAGAGGTTTACATACACATACACATACATATATATATACACATACACACACTCGGGGCAGAAGAGATACTGCTACCGGGCGCGTCTCCCCGAGCGGATGGGAGAACGCTCGCTGTCCTTGGATGACACTTGGATAATCTCTTAGTTGATGGGGTACAGCGGGTAGGAGTCAAGCAAAATAACCAAACAAAATACGCTCCCGTGGACAAAAACTCCCCTTTAATGGGTTGGTCACACTAACTGACCTAACAAGACGAGGGTAGCGTTGTTCGCGTCCGTAGGTACTGCTTTAACACCCTACGTGCTCTCCGGGTAGAGCTAAATGAACAACACCAACAACAATATGGAAATGTCAGAAAACATTAAAACATTGTCTACAGTACAGAGGAGGGATACCTCAGTGCCGGCGAGGGAAGACGTGCAAACGGGCCTGAACTCGTCGTTATCAAGCAACCGTTACGACAGCAGGGTGGACCCCATGGCCCTGCTATCTGGAAATGCTACAGGGAGTACGCAAACAGCCCAGATGGAGGAGAACGAAACGGACAGCTGAGCAACGTTCCTTTAAAAAGTGGAAGACCTTTTGCTCCTGTCACTGATCAGGAAACAAACAAAAGGGGAAACGGGCCTCATGCCCAGCAAGACGCACTGCTACTTAGTGCAAAGATGAAGAGGACAGATGCGCTGGCACATCTGGAGAAGCTAGTCAGCGGACTGCAGGACTTTCTCCAAACCAAGCAAAATGTCCACAAGGAGATCAAGTCGAAAACGACGAACATCTGCAGTGCCCTGAGACGGTTCAAAAAACTGGATCAAGATGCGTTTCTGTACGTGATTTATACATTCTTTTTTATTATCGTTCTATCTCCGTATGGTTTCGCATCACAAATATTTTTATATGTTTTGGTGTCACCGTCGCCGATGTAATTAGTATATTGAACACTATGCAATGTTTTCGATCTTAAAAACATTTCCTTGATTCCGTCACTCTCCATTTGACTAGAAGAAGTTTCGTGATTCTTTGAACAATCCAAAGAATGATCTTGCATGAAAAAATCATACTCTATAGTTCCTTTTTTTGGCTCCATTTGTGCACACAATTTACAAAAGTTGGATTTTACGATCACGTCTACAATTTTACCTGTGAAGTAACCAATCAACGACGAAATACCAAATAAAGATTTAAAACCTCTTTTTTTCCAACTTCCATCTCCAGACACAGAAATTCCGAAACTACTTCCAAAGTCCGATCGATTTGAAGTTTCCTGTACTTCTTCTTTAACAGCTTTTTTCATAACAAGATCGCAACAAATTCTTGCTGTATTCCTAATCTGTTCTACTACACGGTCATAAAAGCTCTGAAACATTGGTCGAGGTAAGTCCATGAAGGCACAAAATCTCTCAGCACCACATAATCCAATACCAGTTATTCTCATAGCGAATATAAAACGACGATTTATTTCATATGCATTATTAATAAGAGGACATGAATTTATCAGAACTTGATTACAATTATCACAATTCACCGCAAGTTTGAAGCCTAGTCCACGGATACTACGCTCAGAAAAATTTACATTTCCACCACACTTTTTACATGAAACATAATTACTAAGTAAAGTAAAAACAGAAACAAAGTTTATAATTTTATAACCAATAATTGAATTAACATCACATTCAGTGTCATAGGACAATTTTCTTTTGGAAGCGCTATCACGATGGTTGGGATCTGCATTGTTACCTTTCTCAATTTCGAATCTATTGCACGGACGATTAAATTTTTTACGATCTTTTGAAGACTTTTTTTTTAAGTTTTTATTGAGCCTATTGCTTTTACGATCCATTTTTTAACTAATCTTCAGATATTTAAAATATGACTGAGTAACAACGTAGCGAAGTGTT